CAATATGTCAACTAATTCTACTTTGAAAAAATTTCAATCACACCCTTCTAATTTACTATATATTTAAGGACACCCCTCTATTATAAAAAAATATTACTGATATCCGTTTTAGTTTATATTTAAACATCACTAACACTCCCTACCATTAAACTATCATTTCTAACAAAAAAAATTCAGCTAAAATACAAAAAATGCCTCTACATAAACCTTAAGTAATTTTTCTACATACAATTTTATTAAAATTGGAGTTAATTAAAATATATTTTTCTACATATTAAAATTTGAACAAATTAAAATTCGATTGAAGTTGATTAAATTTTATTTTTTTAACATATTAAAATTCGTGTATATTAAAATTTATTTTTTATGTATTAAAATTTGAGTTGATTTGAACTCTACGCGAGTTGTTAGCTCTTATTAAAATTCGCTTTTGAGTCGATTAAAATTTATATTTTTTTACTTATTAAAATTTATGTCAATTAAAATTCGATTTATTAAAATTTGAATCAATTAAATTTTTATTTTTTTATGTATTAAAGTTTGGGTTGATTAAAATTAATACGAGTTGATTAAAATTTGATTTAAATTCATTAAAAATAATTTTTAATTGGCACAAATACAATTTTAATTAGCCCAAATTTTAATAAAAATAAAATTTTAATCGGCTCAAATTTTAATTAGCTTGAATCGAATTTTAATAGATCTAAATTTTAATACGTAAAAAAAAATAGAAAATAGAGGGAGTCTCACTATAGATATCCTTATCTAGAGGGGGTGTAGATGGAGTTTGTTCTCAAATATATTATGAGTAATTTAGTAAAATTATATTTTAGTTAATATTTTTAATCTGATATGGGTGTCGGTGAAACTTCAAAAAATAAAAAGAATGTCTTTAAATATAAGATAAACTACGGGGAGTATGGTTGAAATTTTCCCTCTCACTTTTTATTGAGACTTTGACAATCAGTTTTTGTTTTTCTTGTGACATTAATCTCCGCAGAATGCAGAGTAGGATCCCCCGCCAAAATAATAGTTGAGCGAATGAGTAAATATTACGTCAAAATAACTAAAGAAAAGTTGATCTGCATGCAATAAAAAGAAAAAACCTTTTTAATCACGTATATTTTTTTTTGAATTTATACATGTAAAATCATTAATTCTAAATACAATATAATTATCGACTAAATGAATTTATTAGTATTTAGTAAATTATATTAGGAAATCAGGAGAATTGCTCAACTTCACAGTCTTTGTCATACAAATTCCTGAAAATAAAGAGTATCTAATAAGTTAAGGAGTTGTATATGGTACCGGAAAAAAATTGCTAATTATATTAATATTTATTATTTTTGTGGATATTTTTATATTGTTATGAGTATTTTTATTATTGTTATAGTAAAATAAAAAAAAATAAAAATAGTTTTAAAATACCAATAAAAATAATAAATCTGTCACTCACAAAAATGATAATTTTTTTGTATAAAAAATGATAAAAATAATTGGTAAAACAGTGATAAAGAAACCACAAAAATAATAAAAAATAAATAAATCATCCATAAACAAATTAAATTTTATTATTGGGTAGCTTAGTCAAGTCCATGAGTTACATACGCCGTGTTTAACTTAACTTTTAGTGGCTGGCCTATTCCCAAATAGGAACTCCATTAGTCCATTAAAAAATTGCTTTAAAAAGATGAAAGCTGAGAACAAAAGAGAAAAAAATACCGGAAAAAAAAAAAAAAAAAAAGTTGAACCGGGAACTCAGCAGTGCACGAAGGGGCAGAGAGAGAGAGAGAGAGAGAGAGAGAGAGAGTTCCCCACAGACAGAACCAGCAAAGCTACCTCTTTTCCTTCGCACTCCCAGATACACACAGACACACACTTATATATGTAGAGAGAGAGATGGAACAGTGAATATACTTTGACTTGCATCGGAAACCTGAAATTTTCCTGGAAAATCGTCTGCGTGATATCTTGGTTTTTGACGAAAATCTTCTGTCGGAGGTGATTTTTCTTGGCAGACCCTCCATACCCTTCGGGCGCATTTTAGATTCCACAAGTCCACCATACTTGTTTGTTTCCTCAGAAATGCCAATGTATCCGGATTCGTCTGCGTCGTCTTTCGAGCCCCTCAACTCCAACCTTTTGAGCTGTCAAAAGATTCACAACCATGGTGATTTCAAGATTTAATGGTATGTATGTATGTACAAACTTTCTACCCCTTCACTTCTGTAGAAAACTAGAAACAAACAAACTTCATTTATGCCTTGTTAAGTTAAAGTTAAAATCGATTGGCCTAATCTGTATTTAAAACTCATGAAATAAAATACCCTTAGTTTTCTGTTTGACCAGAGAGAGAAAGATTCCCTGGTTTCTAACATTTACCCATAAAGTTCTGTTTGAATCTCAGACTTTTTTGACACGAGGTCCCAAAGGTGGAGGAACATCTTAAGCTGTGAAGCACAAAAGGGTCAGTAGCAACCAATATTGCAACCTAAACTTTTGGGTTCATCTTGGGGTGGTTTTGCTATAAAAAGAGGGCTTTGGGTTCTATTGCATTGCCATTCACAGAAGAATATCTCTCAAAAGGGTCTTTTTTTCTTCAATTTCTGATCAGATTTTTGGTGTTCTTGAGAGATGAAGGATCAAAAGATGTTGATGGGTTTTACTCTCAAGCATTTGTTGGTGTTGTCTTTGGCTTTGAACGTGGGTTTGATCTCTAGGGTGGTGTATGTTGGGGAAAAGAGCGTTTCTGGGCTTTGTTTGGAGAACCAGGACAAGAAAGAGGCGCATGATAGCAAGAAATCACGTCTGGTGACTTCAAATGTTAAAAAGGAACTTCAAAATGGCGGAGACGGTGTCATCGATCTCGACCAGTAAGTGTGACTGTGTTTACTTGAAAATATCACAAACATCCATTGAATTTTTTTTGATATATCACTTCCCCCCCTGCTGTTTTTATATTTTTATGTTAACATAGATTGTTTTTTATTTTTAATTGAAATGAGTCTAAACTAATTTGCTCCTGTAGTTATACAGTTAATTGATTGGGGGAAGAGTGGTAATCCCTAGAGGTTAGCTTCTTTTTTTTTTTTTTAGTCCAATGATCAAGTGTTTGGGTAAGTTTATGCGTATTTCGATTAATTTTTTTTTTAATTCGATGCGGATAAAGACAGGTTATTGAAGTCAGAATTAAGGTATTCAATTATTAACATTCGAATTCAAAATATCTAAATTTATAACTCTTCCTGTTACAACTTGAATTACCCTTTATTTAGAGGCTATCGCCTAGTGCTGACAATTTATGCTGATGAAGGAGGGGGCTTCACGAAATTTCCAAAATCACAGGGATACAAGTGATATTAAGTATCTGTATAACTTAAACGGAGCTTAGGTCATGTTTGTTTGAGTCTTTTTTTTCTTTTTTCGCTGTATATAGATTCTGTTTGAGTCTGATGATTAGTATACCATGGTGAAACGATTCCCTAACGTGCGCTTGGAGGGTTACCTTTTTGTCAGATGAGAGACAAAGACGGACCTTTGTTGATTGTGAATCTTGTGAATCCCATGGTGCATGTTAGAGTGGTGGGGGGTGAGCCTTTCTTCGTACTTGACTACTGCTCTCTCATGGTCTCTGTTCCCAAAGTTAGGTTTTACTGTTAGAGACTAACATGCACCACTGGTGGTGGTGGTGGTGGTCCTCGATTCCCATTGACCAGCACCAGCATATTCTTCTGTACTTTTTTGGCCGACCTCAAACCACTCAAATAGTTTTAGTTAAAAAAGAAGATTTGAATTCCAATGCCACCATATTAGCAAAAGGCACTTTTGGGCTACTTAAAAAATTGATTACACTATACTTGTTTGTGGGTCTTCTTGGTTTTGTGCGGATGCTGCATAAAGATTAAAGACTCCCTTTTGTCCTTTGAGGAGATCTTCAAAAATAAAGTTGGACCCTCTCCATTGTGAGTTGCATTTTATGGCCACTTTTTGCGTGTTTTGACACAACGATGAGGTTATTGCATTGTTACTTAGACGTCACGGTTTGAGCCATGAAAATAGTTTTTTTGGCATGCAGTGTGAGGTTGATACATCTAAATTCCTCCGGACCTTGCAATGATGGAAGATTCATGCACCAAGCTACCTTTCCTTTTTGTATAATTTTAGGACCACCCTTTAGCATCATAGGGAAAGTTGGGTGGGTGGGATGCTTGGTTATAAGTGTTTTGTGGGTCATGCCTGTGTTACCAATTACAAAGAATGCAATTTGGATCTGACATTTACTAGTCATGAATCCAATCATTTGATACTCTGATAGAGCATGGCCCAGAATTGCTGTTTCCATGCCTGGCCTCCATCCAATATTGAATCTTAATGCTGTGACAGTTTTTACAATTAACCTCAAGTACCTAGTAGCATACATACAATAGTATATGCCTGCATGTTTCTCTGACCATATGGAAAGATTAGGACCATTGTCCCCATGAGGGACCATGTTTGCCAACACAACCTTGCCTCTATGACTATGAGACAGTTCAGGTGGCTGATGGGCCATCTCGCACGCCATTAGCGTCGTTTCACGCCCCCTCCCCTACCAAAAAGGAAACAAAAGATAAAGGTGATGTGCTATACCATATTTACCACATTTTGCGATTCACTCTACCTCCATAAATGCTAAGATTTCAATTCATAGGTAATTTTTTTATACATGACCACACGGTTTGATTTTACTTCAACGTGCGTGTCTTAATCTTTCATGCATGAGGTAAAACTCAACATCCCATGAACTGTTGAACTATACATTTGTCTTGGTCATGGAGAGGATGCTTCCTTGAAAACAACAAACATATTCATAAACATTTGTGGAGATAGGTTCTGGTTTTTGAGAATCTGGCATGATGATTTTGTATTTTCAATTGGTGACATTATAGAAGTTTCTAATTTTGTACGTGAATCAATGCAGTGGCGACCCAACAATGTATGAGAGGTTTTGGCACAAGATGGGGGAAAAGAGCACAATTGTTATATCTGGTCACCAATCTATAAGTTATTTTTCTGATGTCAGAAACCTTTGCTGGTTTTTGGAACCAGAATTTGCAAATTCAGTGGTTAGACTACACAAACTTGTTGGAAACGCAATTACTGAAGACCACCACATTGTGGTTGGGACAGGTTCTACACAACTCTTTCAGGCTGTACTATATGCTCTCTCTCCACCGAATGCATCTGAGCCCATGAATGTGGTATCTGCTGCCCCATTCTACTCGGTGAGATCTATGTCTAACGTTTGATTCGATAACAACAATTATATCTTTTCAAGTACAAATTCTTGGAACTTAGTTATATACTTGCCAGGGAATCCAAAAAAAAACCTCTATAACTAATAAACATTGCGGCTTCTGTAATAGTGTTTAATATTCATTTAACAGCATAACATGGCAGGCATGCTTTATTGCATATCTGCAAATATGTCGTTTTTGGTTCTACATCTAATGAATCAAAACAACACTTCTATCTTTTTAACTGTAAATACCTGATACCCTGATATACTTGACAGAGAATCCAAACAAAGTCAACCCTATAACTGATAAACATTGCAGTTTGCTACCATAATGGTTAGTATTCATTAACCACGTAACGTGGCAGGCATGTTTAATTGTGTATATGTACATTTGTCCTCTTCTGGTATTTCTTTTGATAGAAGACACATTATGTGCTAACACAACAGTGGTTTATCTGAAAGATCACAGAACCAATTACTTGCTATATTTGCAACCCCTTAGATATAGAAAGTGGTCTGCGGCTTTGTGGTGGTATTTTAATATTTTATCACTATCGTGCAATATCATGTTTTTATAATCTTTGCTGTGGTTGAGTTGTCGATGCATTTATGTCTTTTTGTTTTCTTTCTTTGGTTCCCCCTTCCACCCGGCGCTCTCTTTCATGCACACACACTCGAGTACGTGTTTGTAGTCGTCAATTGGGAATGAAACATAAATCTAACTCTGAAGTGGTTACACAAGGATTTTTTTTGTTTGTAAAGTGATTCCTCAATTCTTTGTACTTCCACACTTATAAAATTAGGGGAAGAAACCCATAAAGTCAACCTCCCTTACATTGAAGGAGCTATAAAGTCAATCTACCTTACATTGAAGATAATTAAATTGTTGCAAATTGATATGACCATTTATGGTCACCGTTCTTGGGCATGAACAGTCTTCTCTAGTATGCAAGAGTTCAATAGCGTTCTGATATGGTGAACAGTGAACTTGGAAGTCATTGTTCTATGTTTGTAAAAAATGCAGATTTGCTTTGTGCATTTGTAGTTGTGTCCCATTTCCATGAGTATACCTTTTTGTTGCCTCAATTTTTTCCACTACAGAGATTTCTTTAATTTTATCAGAACTCCTGACAAGGCTGAGATCATCAAAACTTGACCTACAGGAGTAATACGATGGTTGCAGAATGTTAAACAACCATCTATTCCAAAAGCTTAAGCTGTTAGAAAGAGTGTGTAACTTTAATTTTTATACCTCAACAGAGAATAAGATTCTGAAATCCGAATAATCAGTGTAAAGTTTGAGAATTCCACTTCAGTTCATGTTTCAAATAACCTAGTGACCAGTGCTAACCCTGCTTATCTAGCTTATCTTGTCTACATTCTTCAGAATGTTTATCACATGATATTTTAACCAATAGTAATGAGTAGTTTTGTGTAAACTGTAACATTGTAAGGGCTGGCCATTGAGTTTGCTAATTGCTTGCAGTCGTACCCGTTGTTGACCGACTACCTAAAGTCTGCGCTTTATAAATGGGCGGGTGATGCTTACGAGTTCAGTAAAGATGGTCCCTACATTGAACTTGTAACTTCCCCTAATAATCCTGATGGCTTTACAAGGGAACCTGTGGTCCGTCGAACTAAAGGATTATTGGTTCATGACCTTGCTTACTATTGGCCACAATATACTCCAATATCTTTTCCTGCAGATCACGACATCATGCTGTTCACAGTCTCCAAAAGCACTGGCCATGCTGGGATTCGTTTAGGGTAAGCTAATAATCAATAATTATGCTTGTCGGAAAAATGACTTTACTATTAGAGTTTTGATATATTTCTTCTGGTTGTTAAATCAGTGATTTGAATTACTTGATTATTTGTTTGGACATAGAAATCAAGAATGATTTATTTGGTGGTATAATCGTGGGAATTTTCTTTGCATTACAGCAAATTCAACCTTTTTCAGGACTCCTTCGGTCAAGGGGATGCCCAAACAATATAGATAGAGTGGAAGCCTTCAGCACTAGGAGTTCTACTCCTTTATCTCTAGTGATTCTCTTGGATTTCTGCTCTATCTCTTGGCTCTCTCTTACGGAAGAGCCTTCCAACTCATGTTATGATATAGATCCCCAAATATGACTCGATCATTCATTATCGCCTCTCTGGTTTTTTTAGGAAGATATATGCCTCTATAGAGTTTCACATAGCCTTTGGGAAGGCTCGGGGGTCAAGGCCTTCTCCGATAATCAATATGCAAGGCAGATTGATTATTCGCATCCCAATCCTAATAGCTGTTATAGTATCCGATGAGTTGGATGAGGGAGAGGACGACTTTTGATGCCTTGAACTTGGCAGTTGAAATTGATGTTAGTGACGAAATGAAGGGCGAGACCAATCCCTTATACGACTTTTAGTTCAACTAATCAACAAAGCTTCCATATTAATCTATTGCTTGCCTATATTTCTAAATTTTTCTCTCATTAAACATATCACAGATGGGCTCTTGTCAAAGATCGAGAAATTGCCAAAAAAATGATTAATTTCATAGAGCTCAACACCATTGGAGTGTCCAGAGATTCACAGCTCCGGGCAGCAAAGATTTTACAAGCTGTGTCTGAAAGCTATGACCATGTTGACAACTCTAAAGAAACTGAACCTTTCTTCGAATATGGTTACAATATCATGGCAAAGAGGTGGAAGCAACTAAGAGCAGCAGTGAATAAGAGTAAGCTTTTCAGTTTGCCCGACTTTCCTCCTGGGACGTGCACATTTACTGGTCGAACTTTTGAATCACAACCTGGTAATTTTCAATTCAATTTATGAATTACATCTGATTTCATAATTGTCCTAGCATTCATCGTGTAGCTACTACCATTACGTTTTTCTTCCTCTATCTGCAGCTTTTGCGTGGTTGAAGTGCGAGGGCGAAATAGAGGACTGTGAAAGCTTCCTTCGAAGACACAAGATCTGGACCCGAGGTGGGAAGTACTTTGGGGTTAGCTCAAAGTATGTGAGGATAAGTACATTGTCGAGAGATGAAACATTTGATCTTTTCACAGAGAGGTTGTCTGCAATGGTACTTGAGAGCCCTTAAGTAAGGTGGTTCTTTTGTTGGAAAGTCGAGATCTCTGGTGATCAATATATGTGGATTATGAGTGTGTTTGGAAAAGTTTATGAAATCCAAAAAGTACTTTTTTAATAGACGTTTATCAAAAGTGTTTGTGAGAAAAGAGTAACGTTAGACAAACTTAAAATACAAACTTGATGATGTGGCCGTTGATGTGTATCCAGTCATGTCATTATGTCATTAGTTGCTTTCCCAAAAAAATAAAGAATAAAAAATTTGTTTTTAAAAAAAGATCACATGACTTGGCCGATCATCTTCCCTTTTCCCTCGTCTTCTACCTTCACTTTCACTAAATCAAATACTGCCGGCCAACCATAGGATTTCTTTATCAGCTCCTCCCTACCCCCTTACTGTTTAAAAAAAATTGAACCTAATAAATCGGGTTTTCTCCATAGCCATATCCGAAGCCGAACTGGTTGATGACAACAACTGATTGTTTCACCCTTATGCTTAAGACCTTTCTGTTTATAAAAAAAAGATTGAACAGCCGATTGTTTCACCATATCCAAAGCCGATGATTGTTGTGCCTCTGGGATGAGGTCTTCAAGGGTTTTTTGGAATTCTTATGGCTGGCCGGCGGTGTTTGGTTGCTTAGTGAAAGGGAAGGGAGAAGACAAGGGAAGTGGGAAGAGGGAACAGGGAAAATGATCGGCAAAGTCATCTGATTTTTCTTTAAAAATAGATTTTTTATTTATTTTTTTTGGAAAGAAATTAATGACATGACTGATACACGTCAGTAGCCACATCATCAAGTCTTTATTTTAAGTCTGTCTAGCATTATTCATAAGGAAAACACTTTTATTAAATAAGTATTGTTTGAATACTCAAAATTTAAAATACTTAAATTAATGTATTTTATAAAAACACTTCCTACGCAGAAATATTTTGGCTCAAATTTGCTAAACGATCAGATCTATCCTTGACTTTATTCATCAGTTCTATGAAAAATTTTAAACGAAAACACGCAGATTCTGGGACTTCTCTGAAGCATAAAAGAACATTATTGCAGATTATATATTACGAAACACTAAACATATTCCAATTTACGACATTAGGACATTCTTATAGCAACACTTAAACATACTAAAGACAGCACAAGCAAGAACACACGCAAATGAACCACAGAACCACTCTAGATTGAAGAACTAGAATCTAGGCTATATCTCCCAGATTTGTTCCACTCATCTCTTCCACTCAGCAACTTTTCCATTACGAAAACGACGAATAACCTTAGAGTAGAAACCTAACAGCCCCTATCATAAGAAAAAATCCATAGCACATGTAAGTAATTTTATCAAACAGTTGGTGGGCATTCTATCAAACTGTCCAGCTTTGTTAAAAATTAAATGTGAGAAAGAGCAATGAATTATGGAAGTAAAATAATATAGTGATTTTCATAGTAGTCGTGGATCAAAAAAAAAAAAACAGTTTCCCCAAATACATCAAAAATTGATAGCGTAGATAGTTCCTTGATCTCCAGAAATTTTATCATCAAAAAAAATAAATAAATACAAACCAAAATACATGAATCCACAACAAAGAAGATATTGTACCTCGTTTGAAGGGATTTGGTTAGACCAACATACAACAAAGATCGGTGAGAGAGAAGACGACTCTGACGTCGTTGGTAGTTGGCGAGAGAGAAGGTAGTGTTGTTGGTTGGCGAGATGAGAGAATATATTGTCGGCGTTGAGAGAGAAAGCAGCGACATGAAGGGTTTTGGCCACGGGGACTTGCGGAGAGGTATCGGAGGAGTGAGAGGAGAAAATGAGAAGAAAATGAAAAGTGATTTTTAAAAGTAAAAGTTAATTATTTTTACTTTTTTTTGTTAACTTATTTAAGTGTTCAAATTACTTTTACTTATCAAAAAGTGTTTTTAATAAGTTAAGTCAAACACTATTTTTTTTAAAAAAGTATTTTTTATAAGTTAAAAGTCTCAAAAATACTTTTTTTTTAAGTCATGTCAAACACACTCTATATCTTTTGTGAGATCTCAGTAATATTTGAAATATAAGTAAATTTCGTAGATCGTCTATCATTTATGATTATGATTCGAATCTATGCTTATTTTCAACTCTCCGAAGCATTTCGTTGATTTCTACGCCCTTCTTCAGCTCTGGGTGTCTAAGTATCCACCATAAGCATTTGTCATCCGAAGGTGCTCTTAAATGGATGTATATTAGCGATAACTCATGCCTGAAGGCACTGTGTAATTCAAAAAAATCAAAACTTGATCGTGGACGCCAAAAAAAAATAAAATCAAGTATTGAACATAGACATGCATTAAACTGGAAGCTTAAACTACATTCTTAAGACACCCGCGTTTTCATACATGCCCAATAAAGTATCGTGAATACAAATTTTAGTGAAGAAAACCCAACTTTAATAATTAACCTAGTATAAATTTAAAGTGAAAATTCATTAATTTTATATACTTGAAACTACATGCCTAATTAAAATTGACAATAAAACTCATAAATATATACTTAAAAGTCAAGTTACAGAGATTTACAAACGTATGTCATGAAATATCCATGCTTAAAGGCACACTAAACCAAAAAAAAAAATCGTCTATATTTAACAAAAGTTCAATTATGTTCAATTATATTCTCTGCTCTAGATTACTTAAGGTCGATTATGCTCTCTGCTCTAGATTAGTGACGTTCAATTACGCTCTCTGCTCTAAGTTTGTTCATAATTTAACAGAAGCTTAATTATTAGATTTACTAAGCTCTAGATTAATTTTTATTTTTTAATTAAGTTTTGATTTAATTTTCTTTGTTCTTTTAAAATATTTGAACAAAATTTTCTCTAAAAACAGGACCTCAAAAAAATATCAACATGTATAAACAATTACTATATGCCACAATCACAACCCAAATTCAATTATTGGAGTCAATATCACACCCTAATCCAGCCTTATTATAAAAAAAAATTACAACCATCCCAATAATATAAACATTGGTGATAAAAGGAAAAATACAAAAAATATCAAATTGTTAGTTCTATAACCTATATACACAATGTTCATAATTAAACAACGACAGTTGACATAAAAAACATAGTTGACATAAAAAATACAATGTTATTCCTCAAAGTGCCCAAACTCATAACCAAAATCCAATTTTCTTCCTCAACATCGCACGTTAATACTTCATGTCACCAACTGCAAAAAACACACAAAGAAATTGAACAATTTTGATAAACATAATATATTCCACCTTAGTTGGTATACCAAATTCACAAAACTTACTGATAAATTCCTCCTTTTTAGTTCTAAAAATTTACACTTCTCACGACAAACAACAGCATAAGCTAAATATATTAAAGTGACATTACTGCATAAGCATTCAAAAGCAAGTAAAAAGGAGTAATTCAAATGGCGAATGAGCAATTTAACATAGTTGAAGTGTTGTATTTGGTAGTCTATTATCAGAGGAGTTTGCCTACTCTTTTCCATTAGATCTAGCATCTGTTGTTGTGGTTGTCTTTTTCTATTCCTTTAAAAAAAATTAATAGTAGATGTGAAATGACACTACCTCAACTATAAGAAGACAATTAAGATTACGTTCTTCATGAATGACAACATCTATACGATTTTTTCAAAGCAATTGGACTTATAAATATGCAAAAAAAATTAAAATATAAGTACTTCGATATCTATATAGGTAAGAAGTAATAATAAAATAGGAGAAAAGAAATTCATTTTACAGTTTTCTCTAAGTCTTCACTCGTTTGTAATAAAATGGGTGAAAAATATTACCATAAGTATCTAATTAAACAAACCTCTAGTAGTGACTAACTATGGTAAATAACAGAACAAACTTTAAACGGCTCTACGTAACACAAAAATTCATACATTCAAAAAAAAAAGAAGATAATTCATTGGTATGTTCCAAAATCATGTTTCTATTCATCCATGCTTATTTAAACAAACTTATGACTTCAATAAAGAATTGGATGACAATTTTCTTTTCTTTCGACAATTTGAGAAGTTTTCTCATTTTGTCAAACCCACGACATCGACATCGACACCAAATATATAAAGACCACAATAAAATTAATGAGTATGAAAACACAATTATTTGAAGATTCAAAAAGACAATGAAAACCTAATCTTAGTAATGATAAGTCTCCCAATTGATAACATAACACATTTTTATACCAAAATAATATTTGTGATGCTGGGATATGGGGTTGGACAAAGCTGCTTTAAGCTTTAATAGTTTTAAAATAATTTTACGCGAGTTCTATGCACCAACTTAGTTAATGTTTGATTAACATTGCTCATCGTGCATAACATGGACCATTTTTAAACAACTTAAAAAATTAACACCGAGAAACTTAGACATACACGTACATCTGCATTGTGAACACTTACACGTATATGATGCAAATAGTCACAATAAATAATAAAGGAGTATGATGTAACGTATAAAATGCAATGTGCCTTGGTAATTTGCAATACTTCTCATTATTAGATTTCTGAAGCAGATTTAGTAGAAAGAGAAAAGCGAACAAACCATCCAAAGAGAAAAGCAAACAAACCATCCAAAGAGAAAAGTGAACATACAATCGTTCCAACCATTAAACTAATCTAAACAGACCCACACCAATCAACTTTAAACGAATCTATGACATGAGATTAGGTAATCAAGTAGACCCACATTAATCAACTTGAAAACTAATCCATAACATAACGCAAATAAATTGGAATTTTTGCAACCTAAAATTTCACTCTTTCCAAGCTAACACACATTGCTCTACTCTAAAAGCAATCAAGTGACAATAAAAATTCAATAAGTAAAACAAACCCATAGTGTGGGTTTTCAAACCCTAACTAAGCATAATATAAAACTAAAAAATTCTAGGATTTTCAAAACTACTTCAAAAAATTTAGGGTTTTCAATTTCACAATGATTTAGTCAACATTAATTGTGCCTAGAAAATAGGGTCAATCCCAAATC